GATGGAAGACTCCGACTAGTGTTATAAGTCTAGAGATCTCATTTACCTTTGGCCCAAATTAATCTAAAATTGATAATGGAAGATTTTATATTGATGATAAATTATGTAATAATGTTGAAAAATTATTTAGAGAATTTTTGAAGAATTTTTCAGATTTTTTTAAACATAAAAAATGTGATTTTCAAATTTGTTTGACATAAATACCAAACAAGGACATCCTATGGGGATGCCACATGGATCTCAAGTGGCCATAGGGATGCCATGTGGCACCCCCACCTCCCCACTTGTAGATGACATCATGCTGATGTCATATCTATGTGGGGACCTATTTGTCATTAATTTTTTTGTTTGTATTATGTTATAGCATGTTATTTTGTTATTTCAAGTGTTATATATTGTTATGACTTAAGTTTGATTTAACTCACATGTTTTTTTTTTCTCATATGTGCCATTTTTGACATGTGTGAAATCATAGGATTTTGAGAATTAATTTAATTTAGATTATTATTCACATATGATTTTGTAGCATGTGGGTATATCTTATGTGGCACCACCTTATGGGCTTGACCCATGTGAAACATTAGTGTTGTTAAAATCCTATTGATGGTGTCATAAGATATTTTATTCACATGTGTGTATGTTCCATATTACCTTTATGTCCATGTCCTTGTATTTTATTGACTCTCACAAATTATTCAAAAACCATGGGCATAAGTGTAAACATGAATTTGGACTTAATGGGAAATAAAACATAGAACTAAGGGCTTCAAGGTAAAATGACTATGAACCTAGGTTTTAAGGAGTAAAGGGTATCAAAAGCTCATCCATTGATCTTGGTGATAAGATATGGATGAGTGGCTTGAATAAAAGCCTCTCATGTGTCATTGTGGCTTGGATAAAAGCCTCTCATGTGTCATTAATCTAAGGCATCAATGATCAAGATCAAATCCATCTTTATGATCTAACTATAAAAGTAACTTATGGGTTCAATTATAACCTTAATTTGAGTATTCACTTCAAAAAAGAGAGAGAGAGAGCCCTTGACAAAAATGTGGCCACTCATGAGACTATTTTCTTCCTTGAGCTTTCATTTGAAACCCTTCCATGGAGTAGTCCCTCATTTATGTGATCAAGCCCATACTATTGCTTGATTAAGGTATTGATTTTTCTTCGTATATTTTTAATTCCTACTTCATTTCCATCATCAAAGCTTGCTGTAATTCTTAATTTATAGTAGCTTTTTTCATTTTTGGTCATGAAAACTTGATATTTGAAAAGTCCCAAAGCAATAATGTAGTCCATACACATGGTATGTGTAGACTAGCTTGCTTACTCCATGATCTTGGGTAGTTTCAACTTGATTTTCTTGATCTTATATTTCTAGAATTTTTACTGAGAATATATAACTGATGAGATGTTTATTTCATCATATTTGAGCATATGAAATAGTCCCTTAAGTTCTTTTTTTAATGTTGAAAAGTTCATGCAGTCCCTTATGGATCACATGGTGTAATTTCACCATTACTTCCTTATTTTGTGTAGTATCTTTCTCAAACTTTGAAGGGCTATTTTGATTCATGTCATGATTTGATCCCCATTAAGTGAAATAAAAGTGACCATTTGCTTCTTATTGGATTGATCTCCTTGAGTTATAATTATCACCCATACCTAAGACAATGGGACAAAATTAAGTCCTCAAAAAGCCCTTTAGTGGCCCGCGCACAAGGAGTTTGAACCATGGTTTCCCCATGTATGTTTGCATGTTAATTTGATGTATTTACAATTATTAAATGGATTCATGATTGATTAAAATGAGTATGTTGTGTGTATATTGAGATTGTTCTTTAATCTTGCGGTATGAATTTTAATGCTATGCATTATTGTTTATACGAATTGAAATCTTGTCAAGTTATTATGATCTAGTGTATGATGTGTATGAGACATTATGGTATATGATGAGGATGAAGAATGAAGATGCAATTATCATATAATTTTGATATAATGAGGAATTGCGAGTGCAAGTCATGCAATATGTTGTAGAGATGTATATTGTGAATATTTGAATATTGTATTGAGCTAATTGTATTTTTGGAGTAAGGGATTTGTAAGGGACCTATTAGGGTTGAATTTTATTATTCAAATGTGTATAAACCATGTTTGTAGGCTGGAATATGTGTATTACGGTTTTGTATTGAGATACTCACGCATTTAAACCCTTGAGTTTTTATACAATGGAAATTTTTTAAAAGATTGCATTTTTAGCCCATTGGTCTTGTACCACCAACAGTCTCAGCCAGTTGGTAGGGAATAGGGATCATATTGCTGAAAGCCCTAGGAAGAAGCCAAAGATTAACGCCTATTCAATTAGGATAAGCGAGAGGAAAATGGAGAAGATTGAGATGAATGATAAAAGGGACTGATGACAAGGGTAAAAAAAAGAAAGTTGTATGTTACTTCTATGACAGACCATATCACTATCAAAAGTGTTGTAGACTTTGAAAGAAACGACTAGCACATGCTAATGCAACTGTAGAGAGGTACATGGCTATTCTCTTCAAGTAAATCTAGTAGTGGGCAGAGGAATTGGTTAATAGACTTTGAAGTTACCAAACATTTCTCTTGTGATAGGAGTATGTTTGACGTATAAAGTGGTGGGGAAGGGGCATGTGCTATATGGGCAATGCCTCTTACACCAAAGTAGTGGGTAAAGGGATAATAGAACATAAATTCACATCCAGCGAGGTCCTTATCTTCTCGATGTCTGTCACGTCTCAAAAGTATAAAAGAACTTGATCTTGGCCTATCTTCTAAATAAGTATGGGGTTAAACTTGTCTTTGAGTTCAATAAGTTATTAAAAGTGAAGTCTTTGTCGTCAAGGGATGTGCCAGTGATGGTATGATCACAGTTAATCTTATTAATGAAATGAGTGCATCATCTTTTGCTTACGTGATTTACTCTTTTTATTTATGGCATGGTAGACTAGATCATGGGAGTTTTTTATGCTTTAAGAAAATGAGTACCTTAAATTTAATTATTAAGTGTGAAAAACTGAAATAACAAGAAAAACCCTTTCTCTAAGTGGAAAGAAGTTCTTATTTGAATTAATTCATTATGAGGTTTGTGTCCTAGAAGATGTACAAACTGTTGGGTTTATGTGGCCTTTAAAGGCTTTATGAGTGTGTATTGAAACACTTTTATAGTGAAACATAAACTCAGTGGTGAGTGTGATCCCTCGAGGACCATACTAAGCAAATGATGTTTACTTATGCCGGACTGTGCTTATCGATCTAGGCCAGTCGGTTGGAAAACCCAAGGTACCTGAGCATAAAGAATTAAACCAAGGAGGGTTTTGGGTTAGCCCTTGATGAGGTCGGAGCTTATGCCTAGATGAGTAGCCGAGGGACTGTGTGACCCTTGTGTGTGATGGTAGGCCTACTGAGACCAGAGCCAAAACCTCATCCATGTTCCATCACACGGCTTGCATATCGATAGATCGTTTGGGAAAGCCAGATATCCACCTTTGGGTGAAGCGTATGCATGTGCGAGAGATACTCCTATGCACTATAGAGCTGTGGCCGTATCAGGTCGTGGTGACCTTGACTCGTCTCTAGGGGAGAACCTGTAATCCACAGACTGGGATTGCAACCCCTTGATTCATCAACCTGATTTTGGTGACCTGCTAATGAGTCCTTGCTTGGACTGTGGGTCATGGGAAACACTGGGTCGGTTCGATAAAGCTAGTGTGGTCTGTAGTCCACAGTTGAAGGTGGAGTACCCCATTATTACAGATTGAATTCCTAAAACCATATTGATTATCATTTTCCCATCATATGAATTTAATTGTGTCAATTTTATTATTGAAAGGATTTTAGTTTTATTATTTGAATTTTTATGAATCTCTCAATATTTTATTTATGTTTTTTTTAGACTTATAAAAATACAGTTATTGATTTTACAAGATTGTAAAAATTCATATATTAAATTGTTTAATTTTAAAATTGTTTATAAAATTCCATGGGGTCCCAAAGTGCACATGGGCCCACCATGTGGCATGTGGATGGGGGCTCACATGTGCCACAAAGGGGTGGCACGCCCCACCCCTTGATTTCTATTGTTGCTTTGTGTTCAAGTTTATTAAATATAGTAACTTTGATTTGTGGCATGTGGTCAAATCTTGGAAGGGAAATATTGACCTTATCTTATTTGGTAGTATTTATTTGCTTGATAATTATTGACATATCCTTATGGAATATGTGACATGGATCATGCAATTTTATGGAATGCATGATATTTATTTTATTTAAATATATTGATGGGAAAATGGTTTAAGGAAAGGGGGATAATGGTCCAAGCACCTTCCATAATGTTGATAGCCCATTCATGGAACGGATGGCTCAGATCTCTCACCCCACAAGTCACCTTGATCAACGGTCTAGATTCAATCTCATGAAAGAGGAAAACAATGGGAAAATCCTAAACTTAAATATCCACTATAAATAGGGGTGTTGTCCCCCCAATCTCTACACACAACCTCTCTCTCTCCTAGAGGGGCACGCCCCACGCTCTCTCCTCCATATTTCTCTCTCTAAACTTCCTCTCTCCAAAACCCTAGGTAGTACTGTCTTTCTCCTCTCTAGACCTAAGAAGAAACTAAGGGTTGGAAAAATTAGAGGGAAGCCTAAGTTAGTTTTGGGGGTTAAGGTTTGGTAGAGATTTTAAGGGTGGTTACATAGTTTGGCCAAAATCATCAATCTCGGTTCGAGATTGAAGCTAGACCACAGATCCCGCGCCATTGGATGTGGTGACTCGGTGTGAGGTGTAAAAAGCCCGATTGAGGCAATCTCCGACATCTTTTCTTTTATTTGTTTGTTCTTTTATTTTATATTCTCAAGCACACTATTAGGTTGTATGAATGGCATCAAGTAGTTGAGATTGATATTATTGATGTGTTATTTATTTTTGGAATTTCTATTGTTTGTAATAAGACCATCTGTGAGTGATCTTGTTGCCAAAATTATAAGGGGTGATTATTGTTTATTAAAAAAAAAAAATTGTATTTCCCCTGCAAAAGATCACACAGATCTTTCTTTCACAAACATGTGGTGGCAAGAAATAATTTATCATTTTCACAGGTGAATTTTCAAATTATACATATGTTATTTGATGAAAACAAAGATAAATATTTGAAAATTGCATGTTTACAAAATGAGTTGAAATTAATTGGATTGGAAATCAAAATTCTTAGAAGTGGAAGAGGTGGTGGACATTGTCCCTACAACGTCACTAATTTTGATCATTTATCAAGTTACTGCAGCACACACGCCACAACATAATAGTTTGGCTGAAAAGAAAACCCCCGCACTTATGGACATGGTTAATGCCATGCTTATCAGTTCCAATTTGCCTCTTAATCTGTAGGAGAGGCCTTAAAGTCTGTATCCCATATTTGAATAGAGTTCCAAATTCTAAGAATATGAAGATTACTTGTATGAGATACGTGTGACGAACATGATAATCATGAAGGCTCTAGAAGTAGTATAAGAGCTAGGAAACCAACTTGTTGTGGACCTGACTTTTATGATATAAAAGAATAACCTAAAAGCTTCTAAGATGCCATCTGGTGTAATGCTTCCTTTTGGAAGGAAGCAATTAGCAATGAGATGGAATAGAACTTGGGCCCATGGATCTACCTCCTTTTTCTAAGGCTTTAGGCTGCAAATGAGTTTTCAAAAAGAAAGTAAGATAGGATGGTAGCACAGAGAAATTTAAAACTCGACTGGTTGATAAGGTTTCAAGCATAAAGAAGATGTTGACTTCTTTGATAGATATGTTGTAGAATAGCTTCTATATGAGTACTCATTTCTCTGGCTTTGATAGCCATTTAGAGATCCACGATCCGCCAAATGGATGTTATAACAACATTCCTAAATGAACTAGATGAAGAAACATATATGAAGCAACCTGAAGTTTTTGCCCTAAAAGGACAAGAGCATAGAGAGTACGTAAACATGTGAAATCCTTGTATTGTTTGAAACAAACATCAAAATAATTCCATGAAAAGTTTGATAGAGTAATCCTATCTGATGGATTCTACATGAATGATATTTGTAGGTGTATCTCCACCAAAGTTCCAAATGGTGTTGTAGTTATAATATTCATGCATTTGGATGATATTCTTATACCAGGCAGCAACATTGCATGCATCCAAGAGACCAAGAACTAACTATCTTCTAAATTTAACATTAATGATATGCGTAAGCTGATGTGATTATAGGAGTCAAAATAGCGGGAACACTAGATGGTTATGCTTTCTCTCAGTCTCACTATATAGAGAAAATTCTCAAAAGCTTTAACCATTTTGAGAGTCAGCCAACTATGATCCCACATGTTCCTCATATTTCATTGAGGAAGAATAATGGTGGTTCTGTTTCCCAATTATTGTATGCTAGAGTTATTGGAGTTGTTGGATTTATGATGTAGGCAATTACTATACTTGAGATTGCATTTGTTATTGGTAAATTCATTACATTTATCACTAATCTAGGTGGAGAGCATTGGATTGTAATTCTAGTGTCCTATGGTATCTTGAAGGGGATATAAATTTTTGTTTATATTATGTGGGTGAACCTGATGTATTTGGAAAGATCCATTATTGCATTAGCCTTAATAGCTTTTAAGGCCATTGGTGGAGGTATAGAATTGCTAACAGACACTTTGGTAGACTTACCACTTGTTTAAGGGTTTGTGATTGTGAAGCACTTGGTAGACATACCACTAGCAAGTATCTCAATTTATTGTGATTGTGAAGCAGTTATTTGCATATCAATGAGTAAGATCTATAATGGAAAAGTGCATCATACTCGCTAGGGGCACAATCAATGAAGACAATTTTACTTGAAGATGAAGTAATCATGTTGGACCATATAAGGTCTACCACAACTTGGCAAATCCGTCAACTATGGCCACTGAACCAAGTCTAGAATACAAGTATAGGAACGGGAATGAAAACCATTGAAGGCTAGTCACTTGATGGGAACTGTGGCTGGTGGGTGAGATCCCAAGTCTGAGGTTAAAGGGGAAGATCAAGTCATTTGTGTAGCACTTGGAATATCACTTTTCTTTTAACAGAAATTAAATTTTCTGGCCCATCCCTAGCTATGTGGTTTTGTAACCTGCAACCTATGGGAGGTTGAGCTTAGCTCTTAGTGAGTCCATACACCTAAATGATGATGTGCCTCTATAGGGCCCATGGATCTACCTCTATAGCTGCAGGTGCACCCTCTATAGATTCACCTATATGAGTGTGGAAGTGAGTTAGCTTCCGGTGGGAATTGGATACTCTATTGAGCACTCATACAAATTAGGATATCTCATGCAGAGCTTATAGGGTGTGAGTTTTTTAGGCAGAATATACTTCCCAACTGATAATGTGTTTGTGGGAGGCTTACCTGTAGATGGATATAGTGCAAGGTTTGGGCATTATGCATAACACTATATGGAGGTTCAAGTCTCTAAGACAGTTTAATTTATGCATTGGTTTTATTGATTTTGCAAAACTTCGAGTTAATTTGTTTTGAAACGGATGGGAGATTGTTGCATATTTATGGTTGTTTGAAGACAATTTTACTTAGCTTTCGGGCTTAAGAATTCATTCAATGTGTCTAATCAACACAGAGCAACTGCATGATGTAGACCGGTAGAATAGAGTCGAGGCATGCCGGTGATACTGGTTGAATCGGAAATGATTTTGCACAAAATACTTCAATTTAACTGCCCAGACTAATGCAGTTATGTTGGATTCTCACAAGAAGTTAAGCTGCCCGACTTTTCTTAGGCGTGAAGTACATTTCATGGTTATAGAGGAGAATGCAGCTTCTCACTGTTGTTAGGCTTTCTCATTCTTCACTGCCCAAAATCATTTTCCATGTTTATTTTCCTTTTGCCACATGTAACTTGGCCATTTCGATAACCAATAGAAATCAACTTTAAGTTAGAGACCTCTATAATATTTTCCTTTTGCCACATGTAACTTGGCCATTTCGACAACCAATAGAAATCAACTTTAAGTTAGAGACCTCTATAAATACCTTCTTTGAGAATTGGAAATTGTTCATATGCTTTTCCCATGAGCTTTCATCAGCTTTAACTGAAAAACTATATTCTCTACGAAAATCTCAAGAAATATGTTCCTTTTGTGTTCGATTTCAAGTCCAAAACCCCTACCATAGAGGGGAAATTTAATGTGACATTTGTTCTCTAGAAACTTCTCTGAGCATGCGAACCACATAAGAGTACTTCTCTGAGCATGCAAACCATAGAAGAGTTCCAATGCTTCACTGGGTTTAGTTGTAACATGGTTCAGGGGCATTCTGCACTTTAAAGACCGGCAGAACAACTTGTGCCTTTGGGTTTGTTATTGAAGCACAGGGTCAAATCAGTTTATTGGGAAAAGTTTTGATTTGTATTGGAAGCTTGTGTCAATATTTCAAAGTTCGAGCTTTAAGCTCATTTTGAACCTTGTGATCATTTGAAAGAGAAGTGTGAGCTCTATGATCAAGTTGAACCTATGTTGTTCCTGTATTTTGCAGTTGTTAAAGGGTTTGCAGTTCTCACTGCTATTAAGAGATTTCAGATTTCACGGCCAATGAGGCTCAATTGACAATCCGATAGTTAAGGAGATACTTTGGTAGTTAAGAGAAATTCGTAATGTTGGCTTTTGAGGACTCAATTGCCAACAGAAGTATTGGAAGTATATTTGGATTTATCTTGAAGCATTTCTTTTAAATATTTTGATGAGAGTTCAATTTATCTAATAGAAGCACACGGGTTCGTGTTTCAAGGCTCAGGGCTCCTCATCCTGTCAAAATTCCCTTGGATTGGGGGGTTTAATTTGCAGAAGTTTGGGTAAAAGATCAAGAAAGAGAAGGAAACAACTTTTAAAGTTAAGGGCTAGAAAACATCTTTTGAATTTCTCAAAGGTATGATGACTTTTTTGTAGTTTCTGCTTAGCTGTATCATACGTGTACCAGGAATTTTATTTATAATGCACAGTTATAGCATATTTAATAATCACCTCATTTAAAGCATATATTCTTCTTGTGAGTTTTTTTGGGGCTTATACTTCCTTATTTATAGAACTCTTATTTCTTTGTTATCATATGGAAATTTTAATTAATTGTGGCAGATGGGCCTTGGGAAGACTTTGCAGGCTATTTGTTTCTTGAGTTATTTAAAAGTTTGTCTCAACTGTCCAGGCCCATTTTGTGAGTTCGTAGACCGTTTTGGTCATAGGTTTTCCTTGCATTTGAAACTAATGTTTACACAATTGAGGATTCAGGCTTGGATTGACAGGGTGCCAGATCTAGAAAAACTAAAATTGGGGCGAGTCTCACCGAGTTCCAGTACCCCTGTTTATTTTGCCCAGAGGCGTAGCCCTGTCGGACTTGTTGAGTCTGCTGAGTTTGTTGCTGGGGCTTGGCACTGTAGCTGGTCCAAGCCAGAATACTTGTTTTCAGAAAGCAGTATAAACTATTCTCTTAATTTTGTAGTTTTCTGATGTTTTTCCTTTCTTGTAGTGGTACTATGTCCGTTGAGTGTCACGGATAGTTGGATATCGGAGTTTACCAACTTCTCTCCAAATTTAAGGATTCTTAGATACGTTGGTGACCAAGGTGATAGACGTGGTCTGAGGAAAATGATGTTTGATCAAATGAGCCAGCATCCTACTATAAATCATGTGAGTGTTTAATTCTAATTGATTTGTTAAAATTAGGGCATTTTATTCCATTAAACCTTCTGTTGTCTCCATATGTATGTGCATGTGTCCCCTTGACGTCTCAATTATGTTGACAAAATATTAGCTGTTTTAGCGACTAATAACTGTTTAATATCGAGTACAGTTAAAACTTTGTGGCTCATTATGTTTTATTTCAGGAACGGTGCACTTTACCTTTTGATATCTTGCTGACAACATATGACATAGCAATGCTGGACAAAGATTTTCTATCTCAGATTCCTTGGCTCTTTGCTATTATTGATGAAGCTCAACGGCTTAAAAACCCGTCTAGTGTATGTTCTACGTTACCACCACCAATTTTTATCCCTCTTATGTTGTTATTTTGCTTTCGGTTTTCATTTCAAGCCATGTTTGCTGACTGCAATATCATTAACTGCTTTATCCAATGAACATGACTCGTGAATATGTTTGTTCCCTATGGCACCTTAATGCATCGGTGGGTAGCAACTGTGATTGAAAATTTTAAAATATATCACAGGGTCATGTGAAGGTCTTCTAACAAGTTTGGATCTTGGACAACACCTTTGAAATGCAGGTCTTGTATAGAGTTCTTGATCAGCATTATATTATTCCAAGAAGATTACTATTGACTGGAACTCCGATTCAAAACAATCTTTATGAGCTGTGGGCCTTACTGCATTTTTGTATGCCTTTGGTGTTTGGGACCTCAGAAGAGTTTATTAACACATTCCAAGATGCTGGAGCTCCATTGGCAGGTTTTTTATTGTCAACTTTCCCTAAATTTAAAACTTTGTGATAATTTATGCAGGACAATGTTATCTTTAATGATGGACTTTGGGTGATTGTTTGTTTGTATGTGTATCTTCTATGCATACTTGACTTCCATTGTGAGCCATTGCTAAGTTTGTAAATTTGGTGTTCTGGATTTTCAATGACTTTGACATGACTTTTGTCCACATCTTTCTGTGTGTTGCGGCCTGGGGTTTGGCAAACCTAATGGGGGTGGGAGATCAGACACTATTTCACCTATAAATCATGCGGTCCTATATACCATTATGTGTCCTCTTCAAAAAGTTATCGTTATTGGTTTTGTTTGAGTATGCACGTCGGTGTGCATTCCCATTTATGTATTATTAATACCTTCTTAATTTTACTGCAACAAATTTCTATGTTAAGTCATTTAAGAGTTTTTACATTGAGTCAGTTGCCTGAGTTACTCAGTCTGCATAGGGTCCCCTGAACCCTGAACCCCCCCTCTCACAAAAAAAAAGAAAAAAAAGAAGAAGCTTAGGTGGTATTTCATTATTCATTAATGTAAAATTTATCGTGTTTCATTAATAATTGATTTAATCTTTGGTTAAATCAATTATAATTGACTTATGTTTAGTTTTTTAAAACGTTTCCTCCTTTTTTATACTTTTATATTTTTGCATCATTTTTCCCTGATTTTTCCGAACTTTTTTATTTTATTTATTTAATAATTTATTTATTTGGTTTTGAGTGGGAGGGGTGTTAGGTCATTAGGCTGCAAGTTGCAGACTCGGGTGTCAACTTAAACTCGCCTAAGTAACTCCACCTTCAATGGTGGAGTTCTGCGACCGAGCCTAGTAGGCAAACACTGATTCAACTTATCCATAAAGGTAGGGCTTTAGCTATTTGACATCATTGTCACTTATGAAGTCCCTTGTCTTGAACAGGTGACCTTGCATCCAAAGGAAAGCAACAGTCCAAGATCTTGAAATTCATACTACGAGCATTTATGTTGCGGCGAACAAAAGCATTACTTGTTCAAAGTGGAACACTTATATTACCTCCTCTTACAGAAGTTACCATGTGAGCATTTAATTGGATCCCGAACCATCTATGCTTCATATGGCTTATGGCTTGGTTCAGGGAAAAGTACACCATATTCCTATGCTATTGTGTTATATGTCCTTTGGGTTATTACTATCCATTGAAATGGAGAGAAAGCAGGGCAATCATTGGGATTGTCCCTTGTTTTTGTGTGTTCATTCTTCTCTCCTTCATCACCCTCATTCCGATGGATATTGATGACCCTGTGTACTATGGTTTTTCCATATGCCATAGAAGTATTTATATACTTTCCTATTACTATGTCTCTTGGAATAGTTGATATTACAAAAATGTCCTGATATATATTGTCAAACTGTGATATTGTTTGTATGCTTTTATTTTGACAGGATGGCACCTTTGGTGCCACTACAGAAGAAAGTTTATATATCAATATTGAGAAAGGAGCTTCCCAAGATTTTGGCATCATCATCTGGATCTTCCAATCAGCAGTCTTTACAAAACATTGTAATACATGGTTTCTGAAAGCTCAATCTTGAGCTTGTTTTAAGGTTTTATAAGTAATCTATAGTATAATTTTATGTATTCTACTTCTTTTGGTAGCTTGTTATCTTAAGGATAATTTTTTAGTGTAATACTGCCTTTGGAGTGATGAAACAAATAGTATAGATGGACAAGATTAAACAGAAATTAGTGCTGAAAATTTAATAGATTCAGTTAAAGTGAAGCTCAAGGTGCTTCAATGAAGATTAGTCTCTCTCTTCAGTGATAACTCAGGAAAACTACTCTCTAACCTCTTTACAAAAAAGTTTTAAATAAACCATCTTCTAAACCCAAATTTTAGTAAAGTACCAAACTACCCCTACTACATAATAAATTCCAAACAATACTAAAAAACTCCACTCCACTCCGAAACAATATTAAAAATCCCAAAAACTGCCCCTTTGAATAGTAATGCATGAATAGTAACTTGTAAATAGTAACCCGTGAGCAGTAGCCAGTGAATTGTAAAAATAAATAAAATGAAAATTAAGTGTTGGAGATGACATTACTAAGACATTAGTTGACCGCATCAATCCTCTTTGTTAGAAGAACTCACCCTTGAGTTCTAGTCGATATATTGCTTGCACCTGTCAGGATCCACCCTTTGGAACTCTATCTCTGAAATCCACTAATCTTTTGCTTCAGACTTATCTTTCTAATGCACAAGATATTATGTATATGATTCACGCCTCGTGTTACTAGTCCGATATGATGCACAAAATCAATCACCTTGGCCTCAAATTCTGGCAACTGATCCTATCAACCAATCTGTATCTTTTTGTAGTTCTCAATGCACCTAAACTTCAGCTTATTGTACTTCCCCCAAGGAAATCTTTGCTTCCGTAGGTAGACTAGAATCAAATCACCCTCATCAAATTCTTATTGACGCCTGTGTCAATCAGCATTTTCTTTATAAGGCGTTGTGTTCCTTTGAAGTTTTACTGTCGCCTCTGACTGGATGTCTCGAATATGTTTCACCCAAGGCTCTATATAGTCCCTCATTCACTTAATATGAGGCAAATTCACCAAATTCCATACCTGCTTCAATTCCTGCCATAAACTATTTCAAAAGGTGATCTCCCTGTGGATCTATTTCTAGCACTGTTACATGTGAACTTAGATTGAAACAAGCACAAATCCCATTTTTGTGGTTGTCCTTCTCTCAAAAGCGCAAAAGATTGCTACTTCTATCTGACCATCTGTTTGGAGATGGTACGTGCTGTTGAATTGCAGTTTTGTTCCCGTCTTTCGCCATCAGGTCCCCCAAAAGTGGCTCATAAAGCATGTATCTTGATCTGGAAGTGATGGTTCTGGGAACGCCATGAAGCCGAAGCTGCTGAATAACATCTCTGAAATACAAATTGGCTGCCTGAGTAGAATCTAAAGTGTTCCGACAAGCTATAAAATGCAACATCTTCAAGTAATGATCAACTACTACGAAGACAGAGTCCATTCCCCCTGTTGTTCACGACAATTGCACCACAAAATCCATGCTCACATCTTATCATGGCTGTCGTGGTATTGGTAATGGAGTGTACAACCAGTATTCTGAATCCTCCCTTTTGTGAGGCATATACGATATCTGTAGACATGCCTCACAACATCCCTCCTCTGTCGTGGCCAAAAGTACATGTCCTTCACTAACGCTAATGTACGATCTCTGCCAAAGTGACTCCCAATCCTCCACCATGCAATTCAGAAAGTATCTTCAACCTCAAGGAACCATTTGACATGCAGAGGTGATATCCCTTGAAAGAGAACCATCCTGCAAAACTTAATGTTTAGTAGTTTCTTGGTCTCCTTGTTGTACCTGCTCAATAATTTCTGCAAAATATGGGTCATTAGCACATTGTTGTGGGATGGTTTCAAAGCCCACAACTGATGTTAATAGAAAACTCAATTCCATGGATATCCTGCTCAATGCATCTGCTGCTGAAATTTGACTTCGAGCCTTATGTTTGATTACAAAAGCAAATTCTTTTAAGTATGAAACCCATTTGGCATGCCTTTTATTTGAACTTTTCTGAGTACTTAGGAACCTCCAAGCCTCATGATTAGAATATGATAGAAACTCCCATTGAATCAAATAGTGCTTCCATTGCCTAAGTGCATAGAACTAAGGGTGGCAATGCATCTGCTGCTGAAATTTGACTTCGAGCCCTATGTTTGATTACAAAAGCGAATTCTTGCAAGTATGAAACCCATTTGGCATGCCTTTTATTTGAATTTTTCTGAGTACTTAGGAACCTCCAAGCTTCATGATTAGAATACGATAGAAACTCCCATTGAATCAAATAGTGCTTCCATTGCCTAAGTACATAGAACTAAGGGTGGCAATGGACCTAGACCCGACCTGGGTCCAGGTGTGGGTCCAAAAATTGGACCCAATGGGTTGGGTCTGTGTGGACCCGACCCGAATAGTGTTATTATTTAAATAATATTTAATACATAATATTTAATTAATATTTAAATAAATATAACTATATATATTTAGTAATAATATTCAATAACATGTATATATTTAACATAATATATATATATTATGTTAAATATATATGAAGGCTTGGGATGAAGTCTTCGCGTACCAAAATACGAAGAATTCTCACAGTTGGTACATACAGTTTAAAATAACTGACCCAAATGATTTCTCAAACTGGTTTAAAAACTGGTTCTCTATATGGGGATCCACAGACCAGATACTTCAACGGAACTCCAAATTTCTCAGAGGAAATTCTCTGATTTCAATAAGAAAAGTTTAAAAAGAAACTCACTTATATTTTATGGCCTTATATCAGGTCCCTTGGATTTTAAAATGGGAGTACCAAATCTCATTAGACGATATGGACAAATATGATTATATCCCAAAATTACATTGACAAATCTCCATTAAATGGTGGGATAGCTAGAAAAACGACTCCCTAAATCCCAACAAAATCAAGATGAAATTCATATCATCTCCACCACCTCAAAAGATGGACATTTCAGAGTATGTGGCACTTTTGCAACAACAAAATCCAAATATGTCTAAAACCGAGCTCAAACTAAAACTCTGGGAAGCTCTCAAAGTTACTGATGACAACATGTCTACTTCTACCCAAAATGATGAACTTGAAGATTTTACCCCAATGAATGGTGATGATTGTGCTGGCATCCAATTTCCTCTACTCGAAGATTTAATTTTATTTTGAACTTCTGGAAGAGATAATTTTTCATCAATATTTTTGTATCTTATTTCTTCTTTCAAATGATATAAAAAATTTTCTTTAGAAGAAATTTTATTTTTAATATTGTTAATTTCATGGACTCTGGGCTTTTCTATAAAGGTAAATTTGACCTTATGCCCCTCAATCCTGGCTTCTATCCCGGTATCATCAATCGTGATTGGATAGAGCATATTTAGAAATGGAGTCCCTAAAATAACAGGTTGACTTAAGCCTTTTACCATTATGAAGGGAAAATTGAAGTAAGCACTATTATTACAAACTGCAGTATCTAATAGCTTATAGTTTATAAGCATTTTACTTCCATCTGCAGTATTAAGAATTTGGGTAGTCTTGCTGAAGTATTTAGTTGGTATTAATCCTTCGTTGATACAGTTTAGATCTGCACCAGAGTCTATTAAAGCGGTAGTTTGGAAGTTGTATTCTTTTTGTACCACAATTTTGATATTGGTAAACCATTTTTGGGTTATAATTCTATCTACTAAGTTTATATATTTACAAGTTTGAACCTTCTCTATTATATTCATACCAGTTTCAGAAGTTTAAGGTTTTGGAAGGGTATCTTCCACTTCTGGTGGTAAGTGAATATTATGTTCAGTGATTAACTGATCAAATTCTTCTTCTATATTTTCTTCTGTCTCTCGGATTGGATCCTGAGCTAGTTCTAATGTTTGAACTCTTGACTTTAAGGCTATTAGTTCATTTCTGACTTCATTAATTTCATATCTTAGCTCAGATATTGAGGGTTCTTTTTCCGTATGGGTTTTATTTTGTACTCTTTTTAAATGTCTTGAAAGCTATAGTCTTCTTTTGTAGGGACAAGAGAAGAGTTGGATTTTTTAGAGGGGGTTTTTGCATATTGATATATTTTACTAAGGCCTCTTTCCTAGCCTCAGGGTCTATTATTTTGTCAATTAGATCTATAATTAAATCTTCTTCTTTTGTGAGGGTATTAATATTCAATCCATTCATATCTATTATCGCCTTATAAAAGTTGCATTGACAATTTTCTTTTTCTTTTTCAGGGTCATTTTCATAGTCAGAATCTGAATCAGAGCTACTGAAAATGATATCTTCATCATTTATTTTTCCAATCAACATATCTTCTGACTTAGAAGAGTCCGAAGTTTCATTATCAATCTGAAGTATCTCAAATAATTGTTTTTTGATATGATCATCTAATTCTAAAGAATTAATCTTCTTTTGGACCCTACATTTGTTTCCGTAATGGCCAACTTTGCCACAGTTGTAACAAACAGGGATTTTCCTTTTTCCCTTGTATTTGAAAGATGGTTTGTCTTTTAGGAATTTTTTGGAGAATATTTGTTTCGCCTTTTGGTAAGGTCTGAACTTTCTCGTTTTAATTGTCTTATGTTTTCTTTTTGGAAAAGGCTTTGAAGGGGGTAAAGTATTAAATCCAAATTGTTCACAAAAATCTTCTAGCTCCTTCCTCCCCGTTGTTCTTTGCTTTTCTTATTGCTTTCTAAGTTTTAAGTCTGTACACAGGGCCAAACCCTCAGCACAAATCTATTTTCATATCTAATTAGAAAATTTTAAATTCCAAAAATGGTTAAAATCAAGTAGATCTATAAATATATGAAAATCTTGAAAATGGATGGTCTAGATAATGTGTTGCAAGATGCACTATTTTGGGATTCAAAAACTTTTTTTTTCATATTCATACATCTCGATGTCGAGATGATCAATTAGAGGGTTTTTTTAAAATTAAAACAATATTTCCAGTGGATTTTTTATGTGCATCTGTGATTCTACATTTTAAGGTTGCAACCTTATATAAACTTTTCCCATATATATGTATATACATATATATATATTTTTTGGGTCAGGTCCAGTCGGGTTCGGCTCCGGGTCCTGTTGCCACCCCTACATAGAACTCCGAATCATATGTCGAATATTGACTTAGAGTCACTTAATCTACTTGATCATGATCTTATTATAGTTATGCTGTATGAATACATTCGTCAAGTGCCATCTTTCTTGGGAGTCAAAAGTGCTAAGACAACACTAGGACTTAGAGTCTTAGACTCTCACGAATCAACCCTTACCCAATAGGTCTGAAACTTGCTTATGGAGCTCATCATGCTTACGGGGACTCATGTGGTGGTGAGGGACATTTCGCACCCGGAACCCAGTCTATGCAGTGTTGGATATCTCTCATAGGAGGTAACCATTGGGTAATTCCTTGGTCATCAAATCTTGAAAATTCATTCAAAAGCGGCTTAACTACCATTCCCCACATCAACACCATCGTGATCCTTCATTACTTAGGCAAATATGGCCTCCTTTTCACTACTTTCTGCCAAAAATGACACATGGATAGAGAACTACTTCTTGCTTTTCCACCTTAACCCTCTTTATTTATTTTCATCTTTCAAAGGGTGGTAATTACACATTCACACCATCCTTGGTTAACAAATATGAATTGTTTCAGCCATTGTGAATCACAGAATGGTCGTACTGCTAAAGACATCCCAACAGCAAGTGACAAGCATCCATTGGTAATAGATCACACCATACAAAATCATTGTATCTTTTACCAATAGAAAAAGAAACTAAGCAATGAGAATCAATAAGAACTTCAGTGCCTTGTTTGAACTTTGAACCACCGTTCTCTTGTAGGGCTAGGGATGCTTCTCTTTCTTTTAACTTCAATTTGCTCACCATCTCTTCCCTTGTAAGTGTACACTTGCTTAGCACTTTGGGCATCATGACCTATGTCCTGGCTCACCACACTTAAGCAAATTGTTGGTTTACTGCTATTTTGGGATTGTTGTGTTGTAGTAGGCCTCCATTGGTAGGTTTAGCCCTTAAATTGACATCCTTCCTCACTACGGAACTGGTTAGAGTCTAGAGATTTTCTGCCCCACTGCCTCTTTGGACTTGGAGTGGCTGGTAGCTGTCTACAAAACGATTGGGCCAGATCTGCGCAATTTGGTCTCGGCTTTCAAAGCAAGCTGATATGCCTAATCCAAAGTAAAAATCTGATGCATAGACAATTCAACTGGTATTGCAACGTGCAACCCACTGGTATATCTTGCAGTCAACTGGTCATCAGTCTATTGAATATCATTCTGACTCAGCAACTGATAGAAGGCTTCTATATGATCTCGTATCTGAACCATCTTTCTGCCATAAATGATGGTGTCATTGCTAAAGATCATCTATGGGCAGAAATTTTACCTTCAAATACCACTTCTCTTTCTTCCAATTGCGGACCTCTTGCTTTTCTTTTCTTGTGCATCTACATGTATTTGCTACCACCACAGCAAAACATGGCTTTTTAATCTGGTACCAACAAATTGTACCTTTTTATGCTCTGCCATAACCTTCCATTGAAAAATTGTTTGACACTTGCAAGCCAGTCAAGGAAGTCCTCTGGTTGTAATATCCCTGTAAAATCTGGCACATCAACCCCAATACTTCTTTTGGAGTCTTCAAGTGCTTGAACCAACTGATCTTCAAACAGGATAGGGTTTCTTGCTTGTGACTGATGCGATCCCAGACTATCCGAGTTTGAATTATCTTCCAAATTCAGATCTGGTCTGCACCCGAAACCATGGGTATGCATGACATCAACCCTATACTCACTCCTTCACTGGCACAATTATAGGATGACATCTCTGATCTGGTGTACCTCGGCAGCCAGTGTGGGAAATCCTTGAATAGCAGCCTCTAAATCTGCCAACGTGATTCTAACTCCAGTGCCTCTAGCATGACCTATCACAGGACTTCTTCCCGCAACCCTTGTGCAGCCATCCTCGTGGTTCAAAAGAAACTAAATGCTGCAGTGCATAGAGAAAATCTATTGGCTTTGATACCAATTGATGCAGCACAAAGTATTGATGGACAAGATTAAACAGAAATTAGGGCTGAAAATTCAACAGATTCTGTAAAAGTAAAGCTCAAGATGCTTCAATGGTGAAAAGTCTCTCTACAATTATAAATCAGCAAAACTAGTCTCCAACTTCTTTACAAAATTTTAACAAAGTTTTGAATAGCCACTCTTTTAAATGCTAAATTCTAATAAAACACCTAACTACCCCTACTAATTAATAAATTCCAAAAAATTGTCAAAAACTCCACACTACTGAACAATATTAAAATCCCTAAACTGCCTCGATGAACAGTTACCCGTGAGTAGTTAAAAAAAAAAAATGAAATAGAAATTAAGTGTTGGAGATGACATCAACATGACATTAGCAAGAGTTGGTCAGGATGTACCACCTACTTTTTAGTGAGTTGTATCCATTCTTGATGTAATCCATGAATGGCTGAAAAATAGTTTTTTTTTTTGACCATGCCAATGTTTTTTTTTTGTATTTTTCAGTGTTTTTCATCATTTTCTGAATAACTAGAGTTATGGAATTGGAGCCAACCGCAGGTAGCTTGGAATGGATGAAGCTGTCGTTTTCTATTCTACTTATGAAATGGCAACTAATCATGAGTAGAAGCCTGTCAAAACCGGGCCTAATTTTATATATCTAGTGTGATTTGATTGTACTTTCCTATGCAAAAGAGAAAAGATTCATGGCAGCAGTATTCTAGGCACAGGTGAACAACTTAATCGATCTACAAATGCATATAAGGAGCAAGCTTAAAATGGCATGAAAACCTTCACATATATTTTAGTTTCATCAGCTTGATTGGATACTATTAAGTATGATGCGATTGTTTTTGTCTTTTCTTACCTCCCATTCATGTTTTATTCCATATTGGGATTTCACAGATAATGCAGCTTCGGAAGGCATGCAGTCATGGTATTGAGCCCGAGCCTTTTGAAGAAGGTGAACATTTAGTTCAGGTAAGACCGGCATTATGAAGTGATTATATTGCACTGAAGACCCAAAAAAATGATCCCATAATATTTTCTGGATGTGGAAGAATATTGCATTTAAGTATAATCCACTCGCTAGATGTACATCATCTATAGTTAGGCCGTCTCCACCATCAATCCTCAACAATAAATGGCTCAGAAGAGGTTGATAATTGAGTGGTACGGATGTATTGTCTGCACCATATGTCATTGAAGACAGACAGTGGAGATGGGCCTCTAGGCCGCCCTATACTATACACTCTATACACATAGCATGACATTGTTTTATGGCATATGGATTTTTATTACTTATTTGCAATTCCCTTCTGTTTTTGGATTTATGGCTTATGTGGTTATGTTTCTGATCAGGCCAGTGGCAAACTTATCATATTGGATCTGCTGCTACAGAAGCTCCATACAGGAGGCCATCGTGTCCTGTTATTCGCTCAAATGTCTCACACACTTGACATACTCCAGGTTAGACTTTAGGGAAGTATCCATAGGCGCAGATGGATGGAGATTAGCTGTACCGTGGGGAATGTCATAGTGGGCCTGCTACAGTTATGCTCCATTGGACTATAATTTATGAACCCTGGACTGTGTTTGTTCTAGTTACTTGTGGCTTATAAAGCCCTGTGAATTATTCTGCCTTGCGGGGAATGGCATCTTGCATAATGTTAGCAATTTACCATGTATTTATAAATTTAGATCTCATATATCAAATACTTTCTCTGCAATATAGGACTTTTTAGAGCTACGAGGACACACATACGAGCGTCTTGATGGATCTGTTCGGGCTGAGGAGCGGTTTGCTGCAATAAAAAGTTTCAGCCAGCAGCCTGTCAAAGGTGTTTCGCAATCCCAAACCAGTCAGGATAATCCATTTGTGTTCATGATTTCAACTAGAGCTGGTGGAGTTGGACTGAATCTGGTCGCTGCTGATACTGTCAGTGCTTGGAAGTTTCACTGAAGAATTCTTGCCCTTTACTTTTTGTTGCAGAAATTTTGAATGCTTGACTCAGAAATTTTTTCATAGAGAATATGCTTAAGTTTAACATCTGGAGAAAATGGATACATGGCATTGCACAAATATCCTGCATATTTTTAACCAGATGTTGGACCACATTTCTTGTAAATTTTCTATCATAAATTTTTTCAATAAAAGATGGTGTTCCTTCAACAGCTTAACATAAAGTTTTTTTTACCGTTAGGCTACATTAATACAAAAAATATACTACTGCTGTTCTCTGTTTAATTCTCAGCAAATGCTGGGATACTCGCCCTTGACTTGATACCTACAAAAAGTTTGCATCTCTAGGTTATATTTTATGAACAAGATTGGAACCCTCAAGTAGACAGGCAAGCCCTTCAGCGTGCCCACCGCATTGGTCAGATGAACCATGTTTTATCTATAAATTTAGTGACTGCAGGCACAGTTGAGGAGGTCAGATCCACATCACGGTGTGTGTGTGTGTGTGCACACGCTTGCGCATTCGTGCATGAATGCGCATGCGTGCATGTGCCGGCGTGTATCTGCGCATAAATATTCATACATTATATAAATCAAGTCATATTCTAAAGTTGAATTTATATCTTTTGAATATAAAGAAGTCATTGTCATGAACAGGTAATAATGCAAAGAGCAGAGTATAAATTACAGCTTAGCCGCAATGTCATTGGAGGAGATGACGGCATCTACAAGGAAGAAAACCAATCAGCAGATGAAACAGATGACTTGAAGTCTCTTGTAATATTTGGCATCGATAAGTTTGAACCTTCAGATACCCATGAAGAATGTGAAACTGGAATAAACCTTGTTGAAGTAAATGCTATGGCTGAAAAGGTATTAGAAACACGAAACTATGAACCATCACAGAAGGAGGACCGTAGATTTGAGCTTAACCCTTCAGACCTGATGACAGATGGTGGTGGGTTATGTATGAAAAAGTCTTCTGCATCTATGGATCTCAATCCTGTACTTGATGAAGCTTCCTATCTATCTTGGGTGGAAAAGTTCAAGGAGGATAACCAATCCATGGAAAAGTCAGGTGTGGGTTCCCTAAATAAAAGAGCTTTACCCGAAATAAAGCATTCACAGCACGAAGCTGAGAAAAAGAGGAAGGCAGAAGAGAAGAGACGATCTAAGTGGGAAGCGCTTGGTTATCAGTCTTTTGTTGTTGAAGCTCCCATGGACTTAATGGTTGATGACCTTAGGTTTGATTCAGGTTCAGTCCAATTTGTTTTTGGAGATTGTACTAATCCGATGAAACGGTTTCCTGTTGAGCCTACTGTTATATTCAGGTATATTGATATTTCAAAAGTTTTTGCAACTAAGAGTGTGCCTCTAAATGTCATTGAAGTATGATTTGCGTTCTTTGACCCAACAAGTACTCGACTGCACAATAATGTGCATAGCAATAATCTGGAAACAAAAGGCTTGACTGTTTCATACAGATCATGATTTGGTGGAATATGGATGTGTCACATTAACAACTGTATTTGGTCATCTTCTATTTGGGAAGGAATGTCTATTAGTACTAACGAGGTTGATGTATGCTTTTCTGTTTTTCTTTTCAGAATGAAAACCTTAACTTGGGAGCGAAGTTTGTCATGTAGATATCTAGATATCCTTAAAAGCCACAGGATTTTGTTAGCTATTGTATAGTTTTGTCCTATGCTAAGTCATGTATACTTGGTACATCATGGGTGGGGCTGCCTCATTACCATGTCTTCCATCTAATAGAGACATTAAAATATTTGCCATATAAAACTTTGTTTGGATACTACATTTATTTGTGTGTTGTCTGTGACAGCTGTGTTGATAACTCAGGAAAGTGGGGCAGGGGAGGCATGTTTGACGCACTGGCAAAACTTTCTGAGCATGTTTCACATGCCTACGAAAGAGCTTATGAATGTGATGATCTTCATTTGGGGGATCTCCATCTTATCAGTACCGACAGTTAGTTCTTTATTTCCCTGTCCTTGAAATTAGCAAGTTTTGTGTTATCGGCTTCTTATAGATTAGCTGCACTGGTTTGTGGACTTCCATCTTGTCTAATTCTTCTGCCTAGTATTTTTGTGGACAAACATCAGCCATCATGCAGACAGATCCTTCATTGAAGATTTAATATTTTTGGTCATTGCACTTGTGTTTCTATAATGATTTTCTTTGTAATTGTGTCCTGTTTTATCAAATACATCGGCCTTCATTGTGGAAAGATTTTTCTACTGTCCTGCAGGAAATCAAAATGTTGAAAACAAGGCAAATATGGATGACAAGGGTCACCAATGTGTAGCTCTAGCTGTAGTACAATCTTATAACCCTTGGCGTAAAGTCCCTCGTAACAATATATCTCTACCTGATCTGGAGCAATGTTTACTAAAAGCTTCTTTTTCAGCTTCACAGAAATCAGGTTCACTTTTCAGCATCATGAGTAGTTTTGTTAATTTACTTGGTCTACATGCAGATATTTTTGCTTTTCTTCATGTTACATTGAGACAGTAATAACAAAAAGTTCATCGTTGACTGGAGACAAATGTGAAAAATGAAACACCATAAAGTTTGTGAGGCTGATTACAATTATATATGGTCAGCCTGACCAAATTGCCTCTAAGCACAATATGTGATGCAGCCCATATAAGTTTATGTACAAATAATAATATTTATGCAGTTGTCTCCCTCGACATAAACCTCTTTGAAGCACAATGGCTTAAAATATCTCTAAAGGGGACTACCTTACTAAGTTCACATGCGTAATGCCAAAAGTTTCATTCCTAAATACACTTTCGTTGAGTACTTACTCAAAATTTTAATTAATTGATACTACTTATCCTCGTAAGGGGCTGTCGTTTGGTGTGACGGTAAAAGGTTCGGGTAGCTACCACAAGAGCGCGGGTTCGAGTCTTGAGAGCGGCCACTTTGTGCATAACCCAAAGGTTAGGACCGTTTCCAGCGTGCCCCTCCCGGGACCTTGCTTAGGAGCGACCAGCACCGGGTTATGACCCTTTTTATACTACTTATCCTCATTATAGACTTTTTTCTATTAGGGGTACTTGTAGCTTTTGCCCCATGAACTTGTTATACGTAATAGATTGCCTTTATTATGTACTTCTCATGTTTAGGTGGTCATTCATAAATATTCTTTAATAAATTTTAAATCCATAACAAATGTTGTAGTTTTTGCCATACGAGTTTGCTAAAGTTTATATTACCTTATCAAGTTTATCTTCGTTTAATGTTGAAGTGTTCATTCACTTGTTTATTTTATGAATTTGTTTAGAACTTATGGCTTTAGGTACCATTTGGATGCATGGATTTTTTGCCACAGAAATAAAACTCCCTTACACTATTGCTAATAAATGAGTGGTGTGCCAGCTTGGCATGCCAACTTAACTTTTTGGAACCCCTCTTATCAGCAAAACACTGCTGAAAACGCCCTTAAAACTACAAGAGAAAACGTAACGTATGCTTTCTTATTCCCAAAGAAGTGGATAATCTTCCACATAATTATGACCACTGAAGACTACATTTAAATTTGTTTTTATCAATTGCCCATAAAGGAGACTTAATGGATATGAATACCATGACATCCAAACAGGGCATTAACAAATATTATAACTTTTGCCCTATAAATTTGTTTATTCAGAGATTGTCATATCAAGTTGATATCTTTGTATTGTTTAATTGTTTATTCAGTGGTACTCTTTGTCCTGGAGTAGTTGCTCTGATTTTTAACTAGTTTATAGTATGTGTTGGTATTTACGTATGTTTTTCCTTTTGTGGGTTCTCATAGCTTCACTTCATATGCCACGTATCGGGTATCAAGACGGATCTGATCGTTCGGATTGGTACACAGTCGAGCGCCTCCTGCGCAAATATGCTTCTCTCTTTAACATCAATATTTTTGTGTAAGATTTGCATGTTTCCTTTTGGATTTAAAAGCATAAAATCATTAGTTTTATTCTTGAATAGTATTTAGCTTAATTTCTTACCAACAAATATTTATGCAGCTACTACTTCCGGCGCCCATCACACGAGACAAAGACCCAAGATTAGAAAGTGGAATAATCTATAGAAATATGCAAGGACAGAAGTATGTAGTTCTGTCCTTTTTGGTTTGCTTGGTGAAAATGTTTGTACAGTTATGTCTAATGGCCTCTCTCTGTCTAATGGCCTCTCTCTCTCTCTCTCTCTCTCTCTCTCTCTCNCTCTCTCTCTCTCTCACTCTCTCCTACTCTCTCTCTCTCTCTCTCTCTCTCTCTCTCTCGCTCTCTCTCTCACACACACACAGACTCTCTCTCTCTCACACACACACACATATTACCAAGGAAAATATGCTACAAAAAACAGAGGGCATGGGGTGCTCCAGGAGATTTTAAGCCACCCATCTCTGTTAGAGGCTTTTGGAAGGAAGAGTTTAGGTTCTTTTTGCTGTGGACTTTTGGGAAGATTGTGCTACATGCCAACACAGGGGTCATGACTGTTAGGACTGCAGCACTTGCACCTCCACCACCTACCTAATATGCTTAGGAAAAGCACATATTGAAGTTGTTTACCTTGGTACAAGAAGTCACAGGCATCGCTAGCTCTTCGATGTGAGATCGGGTGGCTGGGGGCATGTCATTGACTGCATCCAAAGTTCGATAAATATTTTTTGGAGATAGTTTTTATCGGACTTCATGCAGTTAAATAACACATCCCTGGCGATTCAAGTTTACATTTTTTATTGCTAGAGGCAATAGGTAATTAATCTTACAATATACAATCCCATGTGCTAAACACCAACTTTAGGTTCTTCAGGTCACTTATTATATGGCAGGCACAATGGTTTTTTTGTTAGTACCAATGATTGAAATTGCCTGGCTAACTTGGGTTTGCCTAAGTCAGTTCGCGATCAAGAGGGATGATTCCTGTCCAAAATTACCCTATTTCTACTTTTATTTTATTTTTGTCAATTTCTTTTTTAAATATAGCCCGATCCTTTGGGGATTGCCGCTGAGGTCAGACCGAGCAAGTCAGAATCAGATACTGGCGAATTGGAGCGTAATTCCAATTTTTGCAATGACTTGCTGATGTTTAAGAAAACCGCGCTAAGTACTCGTGGAGGGGTTGGCACACCAAAAAGAAAAAAGAAAAAAAAAAAATGTTGAAGGGCGGATGCTGATATACAACGATTTTGACACATACATCCGATAGAAGTCAGGGAAATAAAATTGTAATGTTCAAAAAATAACAGCATTATACGCAATATTAGTAAGAAAACAGATACAACGGGGTGCCTTTTTTCTATTCTATTTAACGCTTCTTGCCTCTTTAAAGAACAAATCAATTTACATTGGTATCGGGCAATGTTTTAAAAAAGGGTGAGCTTTGTAAAAGGTACACACCTCATAGAAGGTACAAGTAAAGTGCACCTCTAAATTTTGCCCGAAGATATTTGGGTATTGAAATTTTAATGATGGCTTGAAAAATCTATTTTTAATCCTAATTGTGAAATTTAAAATTCTAAAGACGGGGCAGATGGAGTGGATTTATAAATACTTGAAAATAGATGTAGATAACTTCTTAAAAGATGTATTATTTTTTAGATTTGAAATTATTATTTTTATATTCATTCATCTCAAAGTCCAGATGATCAATTGGAAGGTTTTCAAACTTAAAAGCACTATTTTTTACTGGATTTTTAAGTAGCTTTTTATTAATATTGTATAAGATTGCAACTTTATACAAACTTTTTCCTTTTAAAAGCATATGATACAATGTGATTTCTAATGAGCATGGAAAACCAGTTGCTTTTCAAATTTTGAAACAAGTTGATATGTTTAAATTGCACGTACAACCATGCTCTTAAAAATAGTCCTAGGTCCATTTGCCTGAGGGAGTACATGGACAATATGATCCCACAAAGAGCACGTAATCTTTATAAGTATTTAAAAGGAACGAATTTAACGGACTCTAGAGCGAGCACAGCGCATAAGTTGGGGGTTGGATGTAAATGTAAACTTCCCTTTAAAATAATCAAATATAAAAATAATCAAGATATTTGACAATATTGCATAATTTTTTGGCACCACCACAACTCTCATCGACGGTGATGAGAAGGACCAGGGCCCATTTATTATCCAATATTTTCTTCTTTTTCAGTCTTATTTTCTGTTATTTTCTAATTTTTTTCAGTCTTGCTTTGAAAACACTAACCCATAAAACTATAAACCCTAGATTATTTGAGGTTGTGATTACATCATTCCAAAACTAGGGTCCCAATTGAATAACCCATAAGCCACGGACACTAAAGAGAAAAATTGTCCAAATAGACAAAATTGAGGTTTGCAAGTCTATGCAGTTTGTAGGACAAAGAGCAGCTATTTAAGGGAACCTCTTAATTGTTGGTATGCATCCCTTTAACTTGATTATCTCCTTTTCAAGTGCTCAATTTGGGGCTTGCAATACTTGCTTTGTGGTCACTTGGGTTCCTTCTCCTTTACAATGGCATCCTTACCACTACACTTGATGGGCCTCTCTCTCTTCATTTTAGGGGCACTTGTGGTGTGCTCTAATGGAGGAAAGATTTCCATCTATTGGGGTCAAAATGGCAATGAGGGTACCCTAGCTGAAACATGTGCAACAGGGAACTATGGCTTTGTGAACATAGCCTTCTTGTGCACATTTGGCAATGGCCTGACCCCTCAAATCAACCTAGCAGGCCATTGTGATCCCTACTCTAATGGCTGCACTGGGCTTAGTGATGACATAAGGTCTTGCCAAGAAAGTGGTGTCAAAGTTATGTTGTCGATTGGTGGTGGTGCCGGAAGCTACTATTTGTCCTCTGCAGAGGACGCGAGCCAAGTGGCTCAGTATCTGTGGGACAATTTCTTAGGTGGCACCTCTTCGTCTCGGCCACTAGGTGATGCAGTGCTTGATGGCATTGATTTTGACATAGAAGGTGGGACCCCTGACCACTGGGATGACCTGGCTCGGGATCTTACTAGTTTTAGTAGTCGTGGAAAGAGAGTGTATTTAACGGCCGCACCTCAATGCCCGTTTCCGGATGCATGGGTCGGGGGTGCCCTAAATACTGGCTTGTTTGATTATGTTTGGGTGCAATTCTATAACAATCCTCCGTGCCAGTATTCTTCTGGAGAGGTTACAAATCTACAAGAAGCTTGGGATCAGTGGACCACTGCGATCAATACGACAAACGTCTTTTTGGGACTGCCGGCAGCCCCAGAAGCTGCCGGAAGCGGCTTCATCCCCAGTGACATCTTGACCTCTCAGGTGCTTCCTTTGTTGAAGCACTCTGAAAGGTATGGAGGAGTTATGTTGTGGTCCAAGTACTATGACGATCGGAGTGGCTATAGCTCCTCCATCAAACATGATGTTTGAGCTCTTCCAAGACGAGATTGGACGTGTGGCTACTCTCTCTCTCTCATGTAGTATGATACATACAAAGAAGATGACTAGTGTGGATTTGTACCTATGTAAATAAATAAAGTGGCTTCTTGAGTGCCTCCATGAATAGGATAAGTCAACCATCTTCATATTTCTTGATATCCACTTTAAGATCACTAAAAAAAAGTCCTCATCATCAGCATCATAGTTTTTTTCTCATTAATTGGGGTTGGCTACACGAATTATGTTCCGTCATTACCTTCTATTAAGGGTCATATTCATAGTGAGGTCACAAGTCTCCAGATCAATAAGCAAAAACAAAAAAAAAAAAAGCGTTAGCTTTTGAGTTTTTAAACACTTAAGATTTGACCGATAAAAAACTAAACGTTCTCTATTTGATCTTAGGATATTATTTTATCCGGGCATGTATAGAGTCCACGTGATTTGTTTTCTTTTTTGAGGTTAGTCACTTGGTTGAGGAGGATACATCCCGAAACCTCGAAGTCCTAAAATTATTTCTACACAGGTTTTCAGAGTGAACAATGATATGCTCCCACTGAAGCATAGAATCTTTTGCCAAAATTTTTGGATGAAGTTTTTACCTGTTTGCTTTCTTGGGGGAATGTTATATGAAATAGAGGGTGAGAAAAGTGGCCTCATATTATTGGAATCAAGTGTAGGCCAATGTTCTTTATCACAGAGAGAGAGAGAGATAAATGTCTTTCTAACGTACTTTATAAGCCAACATCAAGAGCTAAGCTCCATGTCTATGAATTACAGATAACAAAAACAACAAGAAACTAGAGAGAAAAACAAAAAGAAGCTCGAATATATATATATATATATATATATATATATATATAGAGAGAGAGAGAGAGAGAGTAGTAGTACGTACTTCTTACTACTATACTACTAACTAACAACAACTAACAAACTAAACAAACGAAGAGAGAGAGAGAGAGAGATAGAGAGAGAGAGAGGCATGGTCAATAAAGCCTGCGAACAAGTATCCCCTCAAAGGTGATGCCTGGGCCAAAAGCCAAAACAAGGCCCCATTCCTCACCACCATCTTCCTTAGCCTCTTCTCTCATGTAATCCAACACATAGAAGATCGTATTACTGCTAACATTCCCATAATCCATTAGAGCCTTTCTACTGCACTTCAATTTCTCAGGATTGAGCCTCAAATTGCTCTCCAACTTGTTTAGGATTGCTGGGCCTCCTGGATGGACGGCCCAAAATAAATCATTGAACTCTGTGAGATTTGCATTTTTCATCAAATTCTTGCAAAAGATGTCTATGTGGCCTTCAATTTTTTGAGGGAGGTCTCGACCCAACTTGAAGTTTATGCCTGCATATTCAAGAAAAAAGTAATTACAAACCATATTTTTATTGCTAGGGTAAGGCAGTGGTTGAAAAGTCGGCGAGCCCACTCGAAATCATTTGAGTCACCTTAATCCCCAATTTTAGAGCCAGGCATTTCAATGCACAGTTCATTATAGGGAGTCAGGTGATACTTGATTCATATTCTGAGTCCCGAGTGAATTTTTTGCTTTTTTATTACGTTTTTTCCCTTTTTCATCATTTAGGCCAACATAGGAACCAGCAATCTGACACAGATCGGCAAGTGCTTGACACCCAATTCCCTGTTTAAAACACTGGTCTAGGGTTCTAATCCTAGCTTGCTTAGTTAACAAAAACAATAAGAAGGAATTTTACCAGTTATTTGCTTTCAAACTTTGAGATTTATCGTTTTAAGTTTATTTTATTTTATTTATAAAAACCAAGGTTTTGACTTAGTTCATTGCAATTGAGCTCCTACATGTGCATGTTTTTAGGAAGGGATGCCCTATAAGATGAGCAATGGCTATATTCATGTCTTGGATTACACATGCCCATGCATATCTATGAGATAGGCATGGGGATAGGCATAGACATGGGTATAGGCATGCTGTTATGAAACCATGTGCAAAAATAAGAGTTTTCTGGGCTTCGGCTTAGTGGTAGATATATCGGTTTGGATGAGAGGTCGGTTCGAACCCTTGAAAATTTTCCAAATATAAGGAAAAATATTATATAAGCCAATTTTGGCAGTCCATTTGTACGACACTGAATGTAGGCCTTTAAAAACAATAGAAACCAGTATTTCAAAATTCGGATAAGTGGGGTGAATCGTCCACCCCATAGGTCTATGTCGGATTGTTCATCCGGATTAGTCTGAGTTGGCAATCTTAAAAATACTATTAAAAATGAAATTATAAAATGGGGTTGGGGGAATTCATGAGAGACTTACAAAAATAATAGATAAACTTAAAATAATAATAATAATAATAATAATAAGATTTTCAAGGAGGGGTAGTATTGATATTTTTCCATAAGCAATTCAATCCCGACCTTCGGATCCAAATTAATGGGTTTTAAAATACCGACAGAAACTTTAACAAAACTTATGTATAATACCTTCTTCAGTCAATCTGCCTTCAATGATCCCTTGGGTACCAGGCAAAAACTCTTGAACTGCATTGTGCAACTCCATGAACGGCTTCTCCCCCTCACTAAATGGTCCACTCCCCACTATCACAGCTGCAGCTCCATCTCCAAACAGTGCAGCTCCCACCAAATCATAAGGCCTTGCAAGATTTGGAGGTCTATACCCTAAAATTGTGGTCTCTGCGGTGGTCAAAAGGACCCTGCTTCCAGGATTATTTTCGGCTATGTCCTTTGCGACCCTTAATCCAGTTACTCCTCCATAACAACCCAAAAAATAAAGCATTACGCGATTAACATCCGTTTTTAATCCGAGATTAGCAGCTAAATAAAGATCTCCACCTGGAAATCTTATCTCACTAGAGGAGACATAGACAAGGTGAGTGATTTGAGACACAGGTTTTCCCCAGTCACTGATGCAGGAGAGGCTGGCCTGGAGGGCCATCTCGAGGACGGCATGATTGGCGATGTCGAGCCTCTGTGTGATGGTTGGAGAGCCCTCAGTGGTGAGCTCGGGGTACTTGTCGAGAATTTCCTTGGATATCACGGTGTATCGGGTTTTTACGGTGGTGTTTTTGCCTGTGAGATGGTGAGATGATGGCTAGAGAGTTAGAGCATGAGTGAGAGAAGGTTCGTAGAGGGAGCGAGATGTGTGTGTGAGAGAGAGAGCGAGTGAGACGTGTTGTGTATGTGTGTGCATGTTAGAGAGAGATGTGGGATGCATGTGAGTGTGAGTGTGAGTGTGAGAGTGTGAGAGAGACATGGTGTGTATGAGAGAGAGATGCTTTGTATGTTTGTGTGAGAGAGAATATATAATGTATTGCATGTGAGAGGGGGAGAGAGAGAGAGGGATCGTGTGCAAGAGAGAGAGATTGTGTGCACAAGAGAGAGATCATGTATGTGCATGCACATGTGTGTCTGCATGCATGTGTGAGAGAAAAAGAGAGAGAGAGTGTGTGTGTGAGAGAGAGAGATCATGTTTATGTGACTTAGTGTGTGTAGTGAGAGAGAGAAAAAGAAACCTTTTATGATTTGGCATCAAATAATTAGAAGAATTTTTATATGGGATTGTCTATAAAGAGACTATTTACCATTTTATACAAGGTAACAAGTCCCTTAAATTTCAAAACGAATGATGATCGTAAAAGTGTTATCGATTAGAAACCAAGTTCCAAAACAAAATAGTGTAAATTATTATCCCTTGCATATGGCGCACTGTCATTTATTGATGGGTAAATCATTTGTGGGTTGTAAATTGCAATAGCAGAGGCAGCCAAAAGATCAATAAAGAACAAGAACCACCCATCTAGTTTTCCCAAAAATTTGAGCTTCACATTGTGCTCCTGCAGGAGCACGCTTAATGTTATGCATGTCATTTCAAGATGGGCACCTCCCAAGTTAAAGTGAGAAACTTACAGAGCCTCTCGAGCTTCTCTCTAATGACGGGGTCCTGGCAGTTTGTATTCCTAAAGTAGGCCTCCACAAGGCACTCTTGGGGTATAACTTGCTCAGGAAAGGCCTTCCCTACTGCTAGAATTGTTGCCTCCTTTTGCTCACCAATAAATCCATTGTCGCTACCATTTTGACCATTTGCCATCACTGTCTCAAATTTTGGGGAGTAGAGAGAAAGATGAAGTCCCAAATTCTATGCTTTGTGGCAGAGAGAGAGAGAGAGGAAATCCCAAATTCTATGCTTTAGGGGGGAGAGAGAGAGAGAGATGAAATCCTAAATTCTATGCTTTGGGGGGGGAGAGAGAGATGAGATCCCAAATTCTATGCTTTGGAGAGAGAGGGAGATGAGATCTCAAATTCTATGTTTTGGAGAGAGAGATATGCTTTGAAGAGATAGATAGAGAGAGAGAGGAGAGAGATGAAATTCCAAATTCTATGCTGTAGAGAGAGAGAGAGATGTACAAATGAAACCCCAAGTCCCAACCACTAGATGAGAGAGAGAGATATTAGATGCAAAAGAAGTCTCAACTTCTATGCTTTGGGTCATGGTTTTTATGGGAAGGAAGCTTGTTTTTGGGGTAGAAGCTGGTTTGAGGTGAGGTATGTGTGAAAGCAATAATATGTATTAATTAAAGAGTTTGGGTGAGATTTTGGTGGTGCATGTCACCCTTGTGAGCATGGTTCACCTCAAGATTAGGAAGGTTGGATTTTAAGAGTAGGGTTTCTCTCTCTTTCTTTTCTCTCTCATGCTTGCACACACACTCCCATTCTCATGCCCTTTTGGTGTTTTTGACTTTTGTTGCATTGAATAGTATAGTTGGAATGAGGTTGCACACTATTTCTCATTCCCATGCCCTTTTTGTTTTTTTTTTTACGAGAGGTGTTATGGGATTCGCACCTAATAAGTGAGGGGTGATTGGTACAACCACTCATAAAATTAGTCTGAACAATTTTTTTTTTAAAAAAAAAATATATGGATTGATATATGGCAAGGTTTGTATTTTCTGATATTATGTAGAGGTGTTTCGTTTTCATTTTTCTCATTCATTTTAAACATCGAACTAAGTTTTTTTTTTTGGGCAATTTGATATGGAAGACATTGAACCACTTCATACTTAGATTTTTTTTTTTTACTTAAATATGGATCGATTTGAGTCTCCAACATCTGTTTGCTCTTACAAAAAATTGAATAATTTTTTGTTGTCTAATATCTCTCATGTTGCACCGTGCCTTGGTACCTTTTTTTTTTTACATGTATAACATCAGCATCATCGTGGTAAATCGTTTTTGTATTTTATAATGGGAAAGGTTTTTATACTTCCCCTACAACATAGAAGATCTATGCTTCCCCTACTATCCAAACGTTTAATTTTGATCAAGAGAGCCACTCACCGTTTGATCTTAGATCTGATGTCTCAAAGTATTTTATTTTTAATTTTTTTATACAAATTATATGAATGTGAAATTTGGTCTGTGCCATCGTCTCATTGGGGCGCACCTATAAAAAAATATTAAAAATAACTTTTCGATAAAATATAATGACCAAAATACCCCTTGAATCTTTCAGAGGTATTTTGGTCATTTTATTTTATGAAAATATTGTTTTATATTTTTCGCTAGTGCGAGTTTAATAGAGGATTGGATGTACAAAATTTCGTGTTAAAATAGTTTGTAGAAAAATTTAAAAATAAAATAGTGTAGAGACGTGATATTGTGATCGGGGCAATCTTAGCCCTCCATTCAGAATGGACGGTTGGATAAGGGGAAATATATAAGTTTTATGTTGTAGGAGAAGCATAAAAAGCTTTCTCTTTTATAATAGGAAAAGTACAGAATAAGACTATTTACCTTTGATACGAGGTGGTCACATTAATCTTGATTATTGGATGTGAAATTGGGTGTCTGCAATTATTCTATTGACCAAACTCAAACTTAAAAAAAAAAATTTTTGAACTTTGTGATACATCCAAAATATCAAATTTTATATCGGATGGTTGTAAGTAATCGTGACTACCTTGTATGAAAGGTAAATGGTCTCATTATATACAACCCTTCTATAATAACTCCAAACCTCAGTATCATTCCAATGAAAAAAGTAAAATAAATTTCTATGAGGTCGTATGAAAAAGTAAAGTCTCACCTCAAAACTTTAAAGAAAAAATCATTGACTAACCTCAACAAAAAAAATATTTTCAAATCACACTTTCTATGTGCCTGAAAAAACTAATGTCTAAAGATCGAATGCAAATCATCCAAATTTTGGATGGTAATATTTAATTGTTAGATAAATCAAAATTCATTTTTCCAAAAATAAAATAAAATAATAATTCTTAAATGATTCTCAAAATTTAAGACAAAAAAAGTTCCTACCAAGTAGGTCTCCCTCTTGAGGAAGTAAGTCCAAATTGCAATGGTTTTTCAAAACAAACATGTGAATTTTGCTTTTTCGAATTTAAGGCAATGTTAGGAAAATCGATAAGCTGAAAGCATGTTAGAGTCAATATTGCAATGGTTTTTAAGCAAACATGGGAATTATGCTTTTTCAAATTTAGGCAATGTTAGGAAAATCGATAAGCTGAAAACATATTAGGCCTTTGAGAAACTGCATTTCTATATATTTGAGCCTTAAGCCCAATGGAAGCCGTATTATTGAGCTTATTGAAGATGTGAACAAGAGCCTCAATTTATAAAGTTATAAAGCTGTGTAGTACTAAAAAAAAGTAATATATGTAATGAACCACCTTCTTAATATAGGTACACATAAATTAAAGAAAAATATTGTACCAGAAAATAAGTATAGGTTTCAATAATTTCCACACTCCCCCTCAATAATTTCCACACTCCCCCTCAAACTCAAGATGAGTTAAGAGAGAGCAACTCGAGTTTGGACAATTGAAGGCGGGCTTAGAAACAAAGTACAAATAAAAGAAGCTCGAGTAATTGCAAATTAGCAACATTCACAAATCGCCACCTCAAACAGAGGTATCTCGCATAACAGCAAATCAACAAGCCTCCAGAATAGACAAGATCGAGTAACAAAAAAAAAAAAGATTTAGATCATCATACAGAATGGAGTAACAGAAAACTTCATCATCCAATAGGATTGAGTAATGAAAAACTCAATTATTAAACATGATCCAGTAATGGAAAAGTTGATCATCAACCAGGATTGAGAAATTTGATCATCAAACTGAAAGTACTTGGAAGAGCCAACATAAATCAGCTACGGATCAACAAGCACAATTGGACCTTAGATTCGAAGTTGAAAACAATTTCCAAAGCAGATCAGAGAGTCGAAACACGACTCGACAGATAAACATATAAGAGAGTTGAAACACGACTCGGTGGTTATTTTGCAGAGGTTGCTTATCAGCCGTTTTCAAATACCATTTTTAGATGTGGATTTAGAGGCGGGTTTAAGATCCGGCTCACCAAGGATCCGGCATCAAAAGGAGCACAACATTAATGGTTTATTTAGGTTGCGATGCTAGATCAACAGAGAGGCACAACCAAATTGAGGGCTTCACCGATCACAAAAACATAAACATATTCTTCTATTCTCGTGGTTGGGGCGGTGCTTGACGGCTTGTTATTCCACGATGGATAATCGATCGATAGCAACTTGATCATCCCCAATGGAAGCAGTGCCATGCAACTTTCATGGAGAGTTGGGAGCGAAGACAAAACCTTTGGTTGATAAGAAGACATATAGGGAGACAATTTCTGCCTTTTTCTTTCTTTCTTTTTTTTTCAAAAGCCATGTATGAGCACCCACTCAGTCGTTACTCAGACTTAGAGATTTTCAGCTAGAAAAAAAATGACAAATGATAAATAATAAATAAAAAAAGGTTTTGATAGAGAATAACTCGGATCCAAAAGTTAGTGAGATATAAAAACAAATTACTAAACTTGCAGTCGGCGCCTCTCTCTCTCTAAGCATTAACCTAGGGCTGCACACAATATACTTGCGGACCTACTTTCATCTAACAATGGATGGGGACAAGGATCACACGGTTGATCAAAGACCAACACAACTATAATATTTTGGGATGGTTTACTCTGGTTTAGATGGTGGTTCTCTTAATGGTAATAATGGTGCTTCAGGACATGAGAGGGGGTTTGGGTTCTAGGGAGGTAAAGATAAATGGGATCCACTCAATTTTGAAGTTAAAGAGATGAAATATTAGCAGCCATGGATGGTGAAGACCCAGAATTTGCAAAAAGCAAAAAACACAAAAGTGTAGCCAGAAGGAAAAGGATGAATATCAAGAGAGAGATCCATACCAAAAACAATATTAAAAATACACCTCATGGTAAGGAACTTGCTCGAGAGGTTCAAGATCTTCGTTGGCCTTGAGTGCTTGAGTTAAAACAAGGCTCCTCGATTGTATATCTCATAAAACCCTAGATTAAGTCAAGTCAAAAAGCCTTGTTGACAATTTTCAGGCTACTAGCTAAATACATCATCTTGTAAAATCAATTATAGGAACAAAAAAAAAAAAGGCGATCATAAGAGATGAGAAAAAATCCCGGATATGTTTGCACTAGACCGTGAAGGGTCTTTTGCTGGAAAATACATGGCCAAAAGGAAAACTAGTCCTTATTAAATCATTGGAAAAATACTTGGCTCTGATACCGTACAAGAAACTGCATTTTTATATATTTGGGCCTTAAGCCTCTATGGAAGATGTATTATTGAGCTTATTGAAGGTGTGAATAAGAGCCCCGATTTATAGGGTGCAAAGCCGTGTACTACTAAAAAAAATAACATATGCAAAGATACTAAAAATAAGTGTAGGTTTCTATGGGCTTAATTGGTTAGTGCTTGACAATTTGCAATGTTGCTATAATCTTCAATATATTGCAAAATTAGTACCTTTTAATAATTAAAAAAGAATTATCTACAAAGAAACCATTTACTTTTTTGTATAAGAAGGTCACAACTATTCCCACTTATTAGATGTCAAATTTGATGGCTTGAGATGAGTCACGGAGTTCAAGAACTGTTTTTAGAACTTTGTGTCTAGTCAATGACACTCTTATGACCACCCATTTTGAAATCTAAGAGATAGAACTGATTGTGACCTCCTTGTACAAAAGGTAAATGGTCTTTTTGTAAGTATTGAAATAGACGCAACAAACACAAAAATATGAAGTTTTGGACTAAATACAAAAAAAAAAAAAATTAATAAAGGGAAGTGTTTGGGAGGTTTAAAAGTTGGATTGTCAAACCTAGAAAAATATGAGAATAAAAACTAATAATTAAACCTCACCATTAGGGTTCTTAATAGGCCCGGGCTGACCTGCGGGCTTTCAAATCTGGCCAGATTCGAGTTGGGTTTGGGGCACGTGTTAAGCCCACCGGGTTGGCTTGGTTGATAAAAAAATATCCAGGCCCACCAACACTAGACCGACACAAAGTTTTTTAAAGTATACATATTACAAATATTAAATATTTTTTCCCATATTTATATAGTGCTTGGCCCAGTTTGGGCCTAGTTATCATGAATTGGGGCTACGCCCGGGGTTTGGCCCAAAACTAAATTTTGGATCTAGCTCGGGCCTAGTCCCATCAACAACCCTACCCTCCACGTATGTAAACAATTTTTAATGCAAAAGGATTTCATGTGGGAGCATAGACCATTTACTCCCTTCTGTAAAATCCCGCCCAGGAGTAATTGTAGGACCCCAAAGTTTGATGATGTGAACTCCCATAGACTCCATAATAAATGAATAAAAAATGTCCAAATCGCACTCCCTGTGCCCATGCCCTTGAAGGAAATAACGATTCAAGATTGAACACATACTATCCAACTGTTTAGGGTGAGATCGAGAACTTAAAATTCAAATTTTATCTTTTGAAAATAATCATATAGAGTTTCTGAGGTGGTTACCACAATTTTAGATCGAAAAAAAAAAAAAATCCAAAATATTCATCTATCTGAGGGAGGGTGTATAGTATTGCTCTTGTAAGTGTAAATGTGGTAATGGACCCGACTAGACCCGGGAACTGACAGGTATACCCGACCTCAAGTCCGGGTATAGATCTAAAATTTAGAGCCAAATACTAGACTCAAACCCAACCCGTACCCATAGTCATAGGATATATGATGGCAATCATGTGTCTTTAAGTGCGGGCTAGGTGCTCATATTGTCACAATATTGACAACATTTACAGTATTATTGGCAAAAAAAAAGAAGGAAACAGTTTGTATATAGAGCCGAGGCTCTAAACAATCAAATTAGAGCCCACCTCAAAAATTTCATATAAGAGATTGCTTTGATGCCCAAATATCCTCAAATTGATCATCTCGACATCAAAATGCATGGACATGAGAAAAAAATGGATTTTCAATTTTAGAAATAGTGCATCTAATAACGTAATTTTGGACAGCCAATTTTAAGATTTTAAAGTTTTCGTAGATCTGCTCGTTCTACACTATTTTTGAAGCTTTAAATTTTATGATTAAATATGAAAATATATTTTAAGACTATCACGAAGATTTCTAGTATTGAAACCACATTTCTCGACACTATTTGAAGGTGTGTTTTGCTTTGATTGTTTAGAGCTTCAACTCTATACAAACCATACCCAAACAAAAAAAAAAAGGAAGCTCATAGTAGGGTATATGATGGTAAAAAAATAATAATAATAATAAGCTATACACATAGGGTGGCAATGGATCCGACCTGCCCCAGGACCCGACAGGTTTGGGTACATGACCAAAATTTGGACCCAAATACTATTCGGGTTCAGGTCCAGCTAAACCCGACCCGTTGCCGCCCCTATGCCAGTGCATAGTATACATGCTCTTTATTAATTCCTAAATCATTAAGAAAATAAAAAGTCTTAAAAACACCTATAGGTGAAGTGTTATAGTGTTTCGCCCCCGTTGTGACGGTTTTGCCTAACAACCGCCACAGACCTATGGGAGCCATAGCTGTCCCTCCATATTTTTTGCTTCAAATTTGTATAAAAAAATCTTGTCACATACTTACTATGCCCGTGACGGACCACCACAAACATGCTAAGTCCGTGACGGTCTTTAATCCATGCCGCCCAAAAAAATCGAACGGCGCCAAGCCCATGGGCTAAAATACTGTTAATTTTCGCTCATAGGCATTTTGTAGCCTCTGCCTTAAGAAAAAAATGATATTAATGCAATAGAAAAAGTTTATATGAGGGTGAGGCCATATTCGGATTCGGGTGAACCCAAAATTTGGATCTGAACCCTAAAGTCAGGTCCGAATTGAAATCCGAATCAGATCCGGGTGCAATGGATCCGATCAAGATCCGACCTGAGTCCACATCCGGATCCCATCATATTTTTTTTAAATAATAAATTTTTATTTTACATATATACTTTTTTTAAAAGAAAAGTTTACATAAGGTTGCAGCCTTAAAATATAGAAATACAAATGCAACTCAAAAATCCATGGCAAACGTTTGTTTTAATGTCGAAAAACCCTCTAATTGATCATCTCAACAACGAGATGTATGAATGTGAAAAAAAAAAAAAAGATTTTGAGTCCCATAAATAGTGTATCTTTCAACACATTATCTAGATCGTCCATTTTCAATATTTTCATATGTTTATAGATCTACTTGATTTTACCTATTTTTGGAGTTTAAAATTTTATAATTAGATTTGAAAATAGATTTTGAGATAATCCAAAATAAATTTTTACACCAAAATTATATTTTATGATAAAATTTGGAGGTGCACCTTAATTGGATTGTTTAAGGTTGAAACCTTATAGAAACCACATCCATTTTTTAAAATAGTATATGTATAGTAATTCGGATCAGGGTCCACATCCGATATATACTATTTAGATATGGATTTGAATATCTAGGATCCAATTTGGACCCAAATCCTATGTATACTGTTCGGATCCAAATCCGGATATAGCCTGCTCGATCTTTACTATTTTTTATTTTTAAATAAAAATAAATTTTCAAGCCATTGCAAAGATTTTTAGTTTTAAAACATCATTGGACACTATTTTGAACGTGGGGCCTTACTTTGAATGTGTACGGCCTCAAGCCAAACCACACCCTAATGTAATATGGGTGTAGTTTGTGTAAGTCTGAGGCCCTAAACAATCAAAGTAAAACACACTTTTAAATAGTAATAAAAGATATTGTTTAAGTACTATAAATCTTTGCTATGCTTAAAAATTTATTTTCATATCTAATTATAAAATTCAAAGTGTCAAAAATAGTATAGTTCGAGCGGATCAATGAACACTAGAAATTTTTGAAAATTGACGGTCTAGAAATACATAGTAGATGTACTATTTTTCATACTTCAAATCTAATTTTTCTCATATCCATATATTTTGAGGTCGAGATGATAGATTTGAGGATTTTTAGGCATCGAAACTTCCTCTTCTAAAATTTTTTTCAGATGCACCTTAATTCGATTATCTAGGACCTCATCCTTGTATGACCTTCTTTTCAATGTGATATGCACATTCTGTCATTTAAGTGCTGAAATAATTTACCACTGCACCTTTAACATTAGGGAATTTTTAAGATGCGCCTTAATTTGATTATTTAGGACCTCATCCTTATATAAACTTCTTTGGAATATGTACATTCTGTCATTTCAGTGCTGAAATTATTTACGACCGCACCTTTAACACTAGGACACGTGGTGCGCAAATAGCTTACACGAGGCTTCCGGTGAGTTCTTCGGTTTTCTTTATCCATTTTTCCTTTTTTGCCAATCAAGAAAAAGAATTATTATTATTTTTCAGAATTATGAGTTCATGTTCCAATTTCTTCCTCTTTGTTTGTGATCCGCCATTACAAGAAGATATTGATTCATAAGGGTTTCTTTTGGACATTCATAAGGTAAGTCCTGCAATTTTCTCATGGATCAAGGATTTTTTGAAACAAAAATAGATTAGGGTTTTTTTCGTAGTGCCATTCTTCTCCAGATATCTTTTCCCTGTGTTAAGAAATTATTGTTCTCTATTTATTTTCTTTTTTTTGGAAATTCGTTTTACTGATAAATTTAGTGGAGAAATCAGCGTGTCGGATGTTGAAGGTTTGTTGGTTGAGTGATTTAATTGTTAAGAATGATTTTTCTTTTCTTACATCCATGTATTTTACTGAGAATTTGAATTTAGGTTTCTCGCTTCTTTTATTTCTTGAATGCTGTGGTATTTGGGTTTTGAATTTACTGAGTTTATTGCTTTGTGTAATGATTAAGAAGCGGGGGTTTCAGGAAATTTATTCAATTTATAAAGAAATTAAGTTAGCAGGTGAATTTCTCTAGTGTTTGTGGAATGGGTGTGGTTTGTATAAGGTTGGGGCCCTAAATAATCAAAGTAAGGTGTATCTCTAAATAGTGTCGAAAGATGATTTTTCAATGGCCAAAATAGTTGTGATATCTGGAAATTTATTTTTATCTTTAATTATAAAATTTAAAGCTTGAAAAGCAGTGTAGATCGAGCAGATTTATAAACACTTGAAAATATTGAAAATTGATTCGCCATTACAAGATGCACTATTTTCCAGACTTGAAATCCATTATTTTTCATGTCTATACTTCTTGTGGTCGAGATGATCAATTTGACCCTTTTTCTACATCGAAACAGCTTCTTCTAGTGAATTTTTGAGGTGTGCCTTAATTTTATTGTTAAGGGCTTATATAAACTTTTTCCTTGTGGAATTGGGTTTCCGTTCTTAATAGCTAATACTGCACTCAATTTTATTTACTTTTTGTTATTGAAAGCCATGCATTGTTTGTATGATTGTATATGACACTATGGATTGTATTTTTAGATCTGAATTGGTTACATATGATGAAAGTTGAGATTCTGGCCCTTCTTTTGTTTATCTTTTGGAAATGCATGTTCCATGGCGAAGGTGTAGCTGTTTTGACTAATGCTATCTACTTATTTAGTTATTTTAACTTAATTTATGTGATTTCTTTTGCACAAGGCATCTATTGCTTGGATATTGGAAGTTTGGAACAATTTTTGTAGGAAGTTGATTTACAATTTCCATGTTATACACCAATTTTTTGCCATAATATAACTGCTATAACAGTTTATGTTAGAAAATAGTCTAGGTTAGAATCAAGAGAAAAATGACTGAAATTTGAAATTCTAGATAAAACTTGGCAGAAAATGGTATCCAAATTTTGGAAAAGAACGGCCTCAAAGTTCTGTTCCGCATATGCACATATTTATTAGGTTGTGCATGTGCATGTGTGATCCAAAAAAAAAATGACTGAAATTTGAAATTCCAGATAAAACTTGGCAGAGTTTGGATACTAATTTTGGAAAAGAACGGCCTCAAAGTTCTTCTGTTCCGCATATGCGCATATTTATTAGGTTGTGTGTGGGCATGTGTGTGATCCAAAAAAAAAAAAAAAACAATCTTGTGTTTGTGTATGTGTGTAGAATTAATAATAAATACCCCATTAAGGTACAACCTTTCTTACGCAAGAAAAAAAAATCCAGGTTCCTTTAGCATGTAATGTTGGAGGGAGCAATAAGGGTATGGTTATATTCTTTTAATGCAAATTGCTCTATGATTTGGCCCCTTGCATGCCATTGCTTGGGGTTGTTTATACTATGATGGCTGTCGAATATACCCTCTTGCTCATAAATCTTTCTGAGCATTGTACTAACCTAATTATGCCCTTGTCATTTTGAGCTTGTTTACTGATTTCGTTATTGTGTTTGTTAGCATAGAAACTCCTGGTAACATGGATAACTTACCTTCTAGCAAGGAAGAAGGTACCTCTTCTTCACTGGTAAGAACGTATGAATGGTCCCTTTTTTTATCTTTCTGTTGATTTTTTCATGCATCGGTTTAGCATCAGGAATGTTTGAACTTGTTGTTGCTGGGACATGTAAACACGATTTAAGACTTTTTTTTTTGAACTATATGAAGTTTGAAGAAGCATACTAGACCATTTTTTACCTTTGGCATTTGTTCATATCAGATTTACAACAATGATTTGATGAGTGAGGGTGTCATTCCACAATTATTCAGTTGCTTTCCACTTCCAGCAATTAATGAAGCTTCTTCATATCTTCTGCAAACAACTTCAAATTTGGGCCGTCGGTTCTCTACCATTGTTGGTATGCGTGACTTTTTTTATTCTTCTTCTTTTGTGATATGAGTTTATTGAAGTTAAAAGGATAAAGAAATTTGTTGGAATGATCGTATTATTTTATTATTTAACCTTCCTAGAGTGCACATATCATGGATATGATATATAGAGATACTGGGAATTTTGTAAGCACGTGATAATGAATGCTATATATTGAGATATAAGGAGCACCCTTTTTGTACGTATGTCCATATAATAAACACTCTTTATAGTGTGTTTATTATAGCATACCATAATTAACTTAATTTAATATCACTTACCGAAAGGAAGTATTGCTTCAGTGCTTTAGGAAAATTATGCTTGAAATTGGAAACTTATCCATTATCCCGTGGTCTATTATGAGGTTTCTTTAACCTAAGTAACATTGAAGATTAAGTTTTTTTTTTTTTTCAAAGGTAATCATCCTTTAGTATTTTGATTTGTTGGAGTTAATCATTGAGTTTCTCTTGCGTTTTCTCTCTCCTGTTTATAGGTCGCTCTTTTGCGATGACATTTGCTGTTTCGTGGGGCTTGCACATAAAAGCCCAGGTCAACTTGTCTTTTCTTTTAGAAAAAAAAAAACTTTTTTCTGGCTCTTGTTGCCAACTTTTTTAAATATCATAACATGAAAGTTGAACGTTGTTTGGGGTTCAACTTCTGTGTCATTTACTTAAGTAGGACATTTACGATTCAATAATATTATTAATTTGGCTGGATATTACTGGGTAAATATGTGCACATCATTTGTAGTTTCTACTTATCTTTGCAGTTAGTTTGATGACGAAAATGGATTGAATTTGCAGAACTACATAGTTTTTATATAGTACGTGAAAAATAACCCCATAATTGTTTCTTCATTTTCTAATGCAATTTTATATGCATATAAATCTTGCGTAATATCTTGTTTGGCCAATCTCATATTTCTCGATTTTGTAATTGTACTTTTGCTTTCTTGGCTTTCAACACGTCGTTGTTGCATAACTTCATCTGTGTGACTGCTTCTTTTGGACCTTTTCCAATATGAATTATTCTTTCTTCTGTAGATGTTCCCATGGGTGAGTACATGTGAATATGTTGAGAGAGAGAGAGAGGGAGAGAGAGAGATTGAATGGAATTTTACTTCGTACATGGATCATTAAAGATTTGTGTTTATGCCTTACATATTTGCAGAGGAAGTTGTCTTGGCAGATGGTAGCAAGACAACACAAATTATATCATCTTCTGATCAGCAAGCAAGGCCTCTTTTAGGCAACTCTATATCTTCATCAGAGCAGTGTTCCACTTCATCAGAACCTTCTTTTGCAACTGCTGATCCTTCAATGCATGATCGGAGAGGAAAGAGCAGAAAGAATAATGAATCTGGAGAAAGAAATGCTGCAATAGCTGAATCAACTCAAAACTTTTGGAATGGAGCTTCTATTTTTAAAGGGTATGCTTTGAACCTCTTCTTGATGCTGTTGTTGAAATATGTTTTGCATAAATATTTGCTGATTCTATCTTTTTACTTTTCAATGCCATCTTCTTTATACTTTTGAATGCCATTTTCTTTTTCTTACACATGGTGGTTCTTTTACCTTTCAAACCTTTCAGACTTGTTTCCCGGGTGCAAAAGACACTGCGTGGTTCTGCTGATGACATAGGATGGCTACAGAGGGAACCAGGAATGCCACCTGTCGAAGATGGCACAAGAAGATTCAATGAGCTTCTTGTGGACATTAGGTTAGCCTGCATTGTATGATTTGATTTTGTATGCACTAACATGCATGGAAAATGAAACATTTAATCTCGACTTGTATAAGTTTTATATTCTCTCTCTCTCTCTTTAGTATAAGTTCTCTGCTTATTTTAAAGGTTTTATCTTCTAATTTTTTTCAATTGCCAGAAAAGGAGAGCACAAGTTGCCAGAATCATTAGTCTATTTACTGGTACCAGGTAACAAATTTTGATTTTTTTATAATTTTATTAGTTTAAATATTAATATATATATATATATATATTTTTATTTTTATTTTTAGTTTTATTTTATTTTATTTTTATTTTATTTTATTTTTTTATTTTTTTATTTTATTTAATTCCGAAAGATAATTGCTAGTAAATATGGCAACCAAAAATCTATTAACATGAAATTGTTATATTTCCTTCTTTTTTTTTCTCTGGTTCAACAGGTTTATTCAGCAACCATGGTCCCCTTTATTTTGTCAATACCAAAAGATTCTTTTCAAAGCTTGGTCTGGCTTGTCACATCGCCAAGATTCACAGTGAGGCAAGAGTCTGAATATTTTGGTGGTTCCATTGCTTGTCATTTGGTTTTAGTTTTTTTTTTTTCTTTTTTACCTCGGAAAACCTAAGCCCGTTAAGGTCACTGACTGTTCAATAAAATGGACGGTGATGGAGATAGCGGAACCCCATCAAAACAGGACATGACCCTCCATCACCATCTGTTAACTGTCATGGGCCAATGAAACATGGTTTCCTTGGGCCAGTAGACTTTTGTATACTTATCAAGATGTTTATTCAGTGTTTATATCTTTTACATCTGTCTATACCAAACTCCAGGCTTCAGTTGAGAAGAATGCAAGAGAAATAAAGGATTACATTGAGGAGCTCTATTGGGGTTCTGGCAAAAGAGTCCTACTTCTTGGGCATAGCAAAGGGGGAGTAGATGCAGCTGCGTGCTTATCTTTATACTGGTCTGAGTTGAAAGATAAAGTTGCTGGGCTTGCATTTGCACAAAGCCCTTATGGAGGAAGCCCTATTGCCTCAGATATTTTACGGGAAGGGCAGCTTGGAGATGTTGAAACTCGAAAGCTCATGGAACTCCTCATATGCAAAATTATCAAGGTATGGCCGCTACTAAGGTTCTACTAACATTGCTTTTGTCATAACTTGGTAGAGCTTAATGCATGCATATATTGAGAACTTCTGAAATATTAGCAATGGCAAAAGGCGTAGTAAAGGTACTCAAGTGCGACCTTTTTCATAGGGGAAAATTTGACTGAGAGCCAGTAACCTTATAAGGACACATGTGTCAGGCATGTATCTAACATGGATAGTTGAACTCACATCTTGACATATCAGAACGCCATTATTAACAGACAAGGTGTAAACGTGTGCAGTATGTTCTTTAAAACATCATGTTAGACGCGCACTTGTTGATGTCTAACATCAACTTGTGTGTCAGACTTGTGACTCTTGGTATGTCTGCCATTAGACGCATGTCTGTCACTTAGAATGTGTGTCCATAACCCTAGACACACGGATCCATCACTTAAATGTGTGTTATGGATACACGTGTTGCACTTTCGATATCTTCGATTGATAATCCAGGAAAATGGAGAGATTGAAGAAGATTTCACACACATAATTAGAGCTGGGTGGGCGAAGTGGAGATTTCAATTAGAATTTTATGTGATCGCCGCATACCAATTAGGCTGAAGGGCAAGTTCTTTAGGACATCGGTGAGACCTTCTTTGCTCTATGAGGTGGAATGTTGGGCGCATAGATTGAGTATAGTGGGGATGAGGATGTTGAGATGGATGAGTGGCAAGACAAGAAGGGAAAAAATTCGAAATGAATTTATTTGAGAGAATTTAGGCGTGGCACCAATAGGCGATAAAATGAGAGAGAGTAGAGTTAGGTGGGCTAGCCATGTGTTGCACTGACAAGTACAACACCTGTTAGGAGGTGCGATTTAGTTCAATTGGAAAAACTGAAAAGGGCAAGGGGTAAGCCCAAAAGGACATGGTTGGAAGTAGCCCAAAAAGATACGGGGACTTATGGCCTCACTGAGGTTATGGCCTTTAATAGAGCAGAATGGAGAACCAAGAGTGATGTAGCTGACCCCAATTAATTGAGAAAATGCTAAAATGATGATGATGATGATGGATACACATGTTCATCCTTGGATGCACGTGTCTTTTTT